GGGGGGGGGGGGGGGGGGGGGGGGGGGACCGCCCCTGCCAGAGCCGCCAAGGCGATAGGTAATCTGGGGGTCCGCGCCCTGGCTGGAGGAGGGCGCCCGGGGCTGCCCCTGTGCAGTTGGTTGTTTCTGTAGGTTTCCTGGAAGGGCCCTTGGTTATTAACTCACCTGCCCTCAGTGCAAGGCAACAAAAGTCCAGGGAGTTTGTTCAAAGACTTCCAGAAGTTGCAGCTATGCAATGGGAAAGAATTTGACCTGTTTATTGTCTCTCACGTTTCAAGGTTGCTGTTGTCTATCCTTTCACCCCTTCCCAACAAGCAGTTTCATTCTCGTGCTTTTCACGTCTGTAGCACTCAAGTCAAAGTGCAGCCCATCCTTGCAGCTGCAGCGGCCATCGGCAGCAGGCCCCCAAATTCAGGCCTGTTGCTGCAGTACCACCCAGCAGCTGGGACAGGGAACGGAAGACCCAGCTTAGGGCCTGAGCAGGAACAGGCTCAGTGCACTCAGATGTTGTATCTGAATAATGTTGCTGCTGTATTGTAATAAGCATCTTCCAAACGTTCGTGCAGGCGCTTCCGTGTGCAAGTGCCAAATTCTGAAAGGGATAATAATAAAAATACACTTCTTACACAGTTGCTGTCCCCGCCACGCATGCTCAAAGGCTCTTGTTGTTGTTGTTGTCCTCTTAAAACTGCTCAAAAATTAGCCAGAGGCAGGCACTTAATGTGGGAAACTTAATATTTGCAAAAGACAAAAGCTGAAAATCAAATGTTGTGAAATGGTGTTAGGCGTTTTCGTGCTTTTGCTATGGATTAGTGTTGTGTCTGATGGCTTCACTTCAGTGGATGTATGGTAAAGAGTAATCATGGTGTTCTCTGTTAATCAGCCTTCAGTTCTAATGCCAAACATAGACAATTTGATTAAAAATCCTTATTTAAATACAAACACACGTTTGAGAGCATGACTCTTTAAAGTTTGCTATTTTAATTACTCTGAGGAAATACGTAGTAATGTGCTGGTATTTCGGGAAATGGTCCTGTGTAATTCAAGATCAGTGTTGTTTAAAGGATGCGTGCCTTGGAGAGTGATACTGCTGGTTAGGACTCGCATTTAGAACTGGGTTGTGGTCCCTGCTCCAGTGATATGTGAGAAGTCCAGACAGAGCGCACTACTGGACCAGAGGAAAAGCATTTTTCCTGCTAAAAATGCACTTTTGCCTCACATTTGTGCATATTCAGTTTCTATTTTCCTCTGTTTTGACTTCCTTTCCTCTTGTCTTACTGGTGGTTATTAAGGTTTTCATTTACTCACTCAGAATAACCAGTGAAATCAGCAGCTTAAACTTCATAATATAACATAAACTTCATAAACATGTATAATTACAGATCTCAGAAAATACACGTTGAGTTTTATTTTTCTGAACTTGTGTCTTCTATCAGTACTCTTTTTCCAGTTGGCTCAGTGTTGTCAGCATTATACTGGTACCAGGAGCTCTAGGATGTGCGTAGCGAAAAAATGCCCTGAGGAAGTATCCCTGCCCAAAACGTCAAGTCTGGACAAAGTTTGATTAGTTTCCCGAATCTGCATGCATAATGCTTTTATTCTTATCTTTCATAAACTTTCAGAGAGTTACTTTCCAACAAAATGTGTTGTTATGCATTCTTAAGTCACATCCCTCACTGCTGTTACATCCATGTTTTTGAAAACTGTCGCTGTCCAACATTTTGGTCTTTGTTAATGTTTTAGCCTGAAAGATTAAGGTTGCAGCAGGTGTTGGGACGTGGCTGGGCTTGGCCTGTGCTGCCTCAGTTCACTCCGTACATGTGTGCCAAGGTGCTAGCGCGTGTCTGGCCACATGGCAGATGGACAGAGACGGATTCTGGGTGGGAAACATCCCTTCACTGCGTTCCTTTCAACCTGGATCGGATCCAGTGGACTTTTCCCCAGCGTGACCAGTGAGCAGTCACATTAGCACATGCAGGCGTGAAAACAGTGGAGCAGAGCAGGCTAAAGCTTCAGATTGATGTTGTCTTTAGGCATTCTGTGTCATAGAGAGACTTCCATAGGGTTGCTGGGACATAAAATATTTTGCTGTAAAATTCTGCTGTTCCTTGTGTGCTGTTCCTTTTTTAACATTAAAAAAAAAGATATTTTGCACTTAAAAGATTCATTCCAAATGTATTAACATATGTGTTTGGATGCTGCTTTTGTAGCTTAAATTAAGCAAATAGGATTACTCACAGTAATAAAGTATGCAGATAAGTACTTCCAGAGCCCATATATTCACATGAAATACAAATGCAAAGTCTAGTTTCACTGTTGGCTTTATTTTAAAGATTTTTTTCTGTATGACCTAGAAGCAAATTATAAAGAAATCCAGTGGCGTGTTTTCAGTTTTGGTCATCACAGAGCCTAAGATACTTGAGCTAGTATGTGTATGGAACATTATAAAAGATTTTTTTGGCCTGGGGCTAGGATTGCTGTGTTATTGTGAGTTATGCAAGCTGTCCTATTAAAAGTTGAACAGAACCTCATATAATATGAGCAAGTAGTGTGTACAAGCTGTATTTCTTAAGTGTGTTTCCTCTGAAAGTTTTCTGGGGAGACAGATTAGCTCTCCGCTAAGGCAGTTCTCTTCTCAGTACCAAGGTTGTTTGATGTCACAACTCCATTTGTATAAGACTTGAGAGAGAAAGAGAACAATCTTGCTCATCATTTGCACCTAGAAAAGGCTCTTGGTGACCAAGGATATGATATGGGCAAGAAATTTCAAGAAGAGGGGAAGGTGACGCTTTGATCTTTCTGCTGGTCTGCTGTTTTTATTTAGTTTCTAACAGGTAATGCTTCAATCCACCCCACGGTTTGGAACCGGAAAAGAATTGCTAACAGGCTAGAATATAATAAGCAGAGCATAAGGGGAGTTGTCAGAGGTGTCATACAAGTGATGTGCTTTTTATCCCTTTGGGAGATTCCCAGACAAGAAGAAAAATAATGTAATTGTTGTCAAAGTACATCATGTAGATCAAATGTCATTATTGGAGGCAGTAGCTCTTGTTAACTTTGAAATGGGATTGGAGATAATATTCCTTTGCACTTCTCATTTTTATTTCAGAAGGGATGAAGACTGTGAGAGAATAGGAGGAAGAAATCATTCGCCTTTGAAAGATAACCTTTCACCATGGGAAGAGTGGTTCATCTGCAAAGAGAGGGAACTACGTGACCGTTTACAAGCTAGAGCTCTGGAGGTGAATGTTCTTCTCACTTTCTGTTAGACTTTGCATTCTGGTCGTGGTAGTTTGATGCTTATATATTTTTTTCCTTTTGCAAGAAACAAATATTTTTGTTGGTTTTTTAAAATGTCTTTGGACATCCCTAGTGTTTGGTTGTGCTGATGTGATTCATCAGCATATCTGATGTGCATCTTCTTTTGCTAAATGTTACGCTCCATTGAAGTGGCGCCATGTAATATTTTGCTTATGCAACTGTTAGGTAATGGCTTGGGTGGAAATGGTTAAAATGTCTTTATGTAATTGGTACCTTGATTAGCATCACAGGTACAAACGCCTACGTGTAGGCAGTAAAACACGGCAGGGCGTGTGCTGGGTGTAATCTGCCAACCTACTTGGCTAGATATGAGCCACGATGTTGTTATCCACTTAGGTGTAGAGTTATACAACTGTTTGCCTTTTCCCAGGATATAGTCCCCATCCCGGCATTGCTTTCCCACCTTCCATTTTTTGCCCACCAAATGAGCTATTCTTGAGTAGTGAGGGCAGGACACAATTAAGGGAGCAAGCTGTATCTTTTCTTGATTAATTTGTTTGCAGTTGATCAAATGATACTATTGTTTAAAATCAAATTGGAAGCATTGGGTAGTGGCTAGAACAATCACATCAAAAGTTGGCCCATTTCTCCCTCTAGTTACTGATTTACCATGTGACCTTGAGCAATGTCCTAAGCTTTTTGTGATTCACTAGATCCATAAAGTGTCTCCAACGCAGAGTTCTGCATGGGTTACCCCTTGCTCCGGGTACAACACCCATCACTGGAAGCTTTTAGAACAGGGCTGGGAGGTCGGAGGTTCAGAGGTAACACCAAAAGAAATTTAGACTTGAGGAATGTGTTCTGAGCTGCTAATATTCACGACACGTCTCACAGCTTCCCTTTAGATTTTAATTTGGTAATTGTCTCTCCCTGGTTCGATTTCTGAGTGCAAAAATGAGCCAAACTAATTTCTGGTATCATGTAGAAAATGTGGTTTGTGGATGGGCTTCTCATGTGGTCTCGATGAGGAACCAAAGCAATTTTTTTTCTCATGTATCACCCAATTGCAATTATACAGCAACAAATATGTTCTTGAAGACATCTCTCTCAAATAGGTGTTAAAAACAATTATAGAATGAGCATTGCTTATAGCCATGGAAAAATCAATGGGATATGTAAAAAGCTTTTAATTTGTAATAGTTTGAAAATATTCCATTTTAGGCTGCCATGATATAGGAAACTTGGATAGTTTATATCTGGAAAAATGCAATCAGCTTCTTAAAAGATGTTGAAAGAGGATAAAGTATGTATGCTACTGTATGTCCTATAAAGATGAAGTACTTTTGAGTTTATTTCCTCCCCTTCAGGTTAAGGGTCCTCTTTCAAAGTTTGTTAAAATCCACAGGATTTTAAGCCATAAAATTCCTGTAATTCTATACAAAACATCACATATGAGCGATATCACATAGCTTCTTCTGCCTTCCTGAAAGCAGTGAGACACACAGTCTAAATTCCAAGTGTAGCAGAGTAGTACTGCCACAAATTGATATTCTTTGACTAAAAGGACTTTTAAATAAGCTGAAGGGTGATTTGTTTTCAAAGCCTAGTTAGAATATGTATTTCCAGTTTATGGTTTGAAAAATTGCTTGTGCCTATCGATTGTATTTCATACTGTTGCTATGTTACTTATCCATCCTTAATCTATATTAATGAAGAGAAACCTTCAAATTGTTCAACG